AAAAAAGGGACCCCCAACCAACGCAGCACCCAACAACAATTCCAAGCGTGAAATCATTTGAGATTAGATATTACAATGGAAAGCTTCCAGCTCAATGGGAATCGCCCCTGAACGGTTTGGACCCCACAAACAATGACAACCAAACAATTTCTCTTGATTGCCACTCGCGTCACCCTCAAAAATGTTGATTCAAAATTACATTGTAGACAAGGAGCAGAAAAAACAAAACTACAAGCACACGGCATAGACCAGCAGACCGCCGTACGTATTATACATGGGACAAAAAAAAACAAAAACATAATGAAACAAAACGAACACACGGAGACCTACATTGTAGGCCTATTACCGCGTTACGATGAGAACCAGGCAGGTGACTATATAATATCCTATTACTTACGGATAATGACGATGCTTCATGATTAAAATGTATTGAGCATGCAAAACAAACATTAGGTAATGTAACTTAATGATTTCTGCTTCATAAGTCCTACCTTATAGAATCCACATCAACATAATGGAATGATAATGGTGGAGGATGCTTGGCACAAACACTCCCATTCAAATTTCCTGTACAAATACCTGTCTGATAGAGTAGTGTTAACATGTTAACACGTATGATGGTAAGCCCGGGATGACCGTCACGCAGTGGCGGGCCCCATCCTTCACAACAATTACCATTAACGTCAAAGGATAGCCTACCACTTCTTTATTTATTCATCTGAATGCATTAAAATGCGATTAATATGATAATTTCAAATTATTAATAATAATCACAGATATGTCTAATTAAATGACAGTCCCACACACGTTCGTAATGGCCGTTATGCGTAGCAGACAATATTAATTGGGCCTATATTGAAAATTATAGTATTTTTATCTCGGAATTTGGTTGAATCATTGGGCCCAGTGAATACACTGCGTTACCTCGATGTAATATCACTAAGTCAGGTTTGTTTTTATTTTTCCCCGTTAATCCTATTATCTATTTAAAATGTCAACATCCTGATGTCATTATTCTTTCAACTTTTTATCGAAAAAATGTTTAAAACCTACAAATTCTCAATCAAAGTGGCACAATTTTTTAATAGAGAAATTGACTGGGAACTTACCTGGTCATGGAAAGTGAAATCTATCAAAGAAAACAAGCTCAAACAGATAAACTATAAAATATTGCACTGTATTGTTCCTACTTGGAAAAGGTTACATACATGGAAAATTATCGAAAATAATACATGTCCAAAGTGCAATGTTGTTGAAGATGACGCACATTTTTTAAATTATTGTACAGAATCACATGACCCGTGGAATTTTATTAATCATTTTAGCCTTATTAATTATGGTATTGAGGCAAATTTTAAAAATATTGTCCTTGGTACAGGGTGTCTCGATGTTCAGTTGAGGGGCCCTAACTCGCAAAATAAGGTGATTTTTAACTACAGTACTTGCAAGTGATTTCTTTTTTTGTGGGGGGGGGGGGGGGGGGCGCCGGGGGGGGGGGCGCTTGGGGGCGCGAGAGTATTCCCCTAGATACGCCACTGGGTCTAGGTCACGATAGTACGCATTTTTCTTGATTGTTTTAAAAGTGAACGTACCCTGATCTCCATCTCTTTACCCCTTCTATCCCACTATTTGATTGCCATTTATTCTATATTGGTGGGGCTTAGCGAGATTGAGGAAGACGACTCTGAAAATCATCTTTTCAGATGAAATCGTAAACGTAATCCTGCGCAAAGAAATAGGGAGATAAATATAATGTAAAATTATTATTGCACAAGTTCTAGTAGGCTGGCTCAAAAGCGGAGTTGGTTGTATATTTTGGTCCATTTAATGGCAGTGCGAGTCTTCATGATTAGTTTCTACAGTTTGAATAGCCATAGTGTGTAATAAATGACAATGATATAAATGTGTATAGGCCAATTTGAAAACCTTCCTTCGAATTCGTTTTGTTCTTAAAGTGGAAATCTAACGGTCTGCAAAAGTATGGCGTCATTTATATTCACACGTGCGCGTCTTAAAGTTCTAATGTACTTTACGACTATGAAGTAATACAAGTGACTCAAATAAAAAAAGGACAGCAGATCAAATAAACAGAAACCATTACTGCATTCGATTTGAGATTAAATTCTAATTTTATTTTACAACTTTCTAGGAAAAATTGTAGCTGTTTACAAAAAATCAGAAAGTAATTCAGAAAAAATGTTCGTAAGTACAATCTTAGCTACATATATAATTAAGATTATCTTTTTAAGTTAATGAAGCATTTTCAATTTGTTTTCAATTTCTGTGTGAAATAAATAGGACTCAATTGCACTGGTTCAAATGTAGAATAACAACCCATCAAAATCGATTCTTGCTTTACTGATCATGTTTTTTTTAAATAAAATTTATTTTTTTGAAATTTTTTTAAATATATCACAAGGAAGTGATGCTTTTTATTGCCTTATTAACTGTATATGAAATCCTTCTTTTTAAAAATAAAATAATGCTGCACATTGGGCTAAAATGCCAGCATTTTAAATTGAGTTTACCAATAGCAGCATGAGGCCAAAAAAAAAAAAACATCAAACCAACGAGAAATGTTTTAACACTGGCTAAGAGACTATAAATTCCCTTTAACAATAATTATCTATCTTATTCTACACATAATACAATAATTAAACATGCTTTACATTTTTATACTATTTTAGGTTTATATTATTATACACAAATAATAGAAACAAAAAATCATAATTTCTTGAAAGAAAAAAAAATTGCTATCTTAAATCTTCTTATGAAATCTTTACGATAACTTAAAGCTTATAATTTATCTATATAACTATTTCCATGACAAAAATTGTTGCTTTAAAAAAATGTCAGACCGATTTTTAAGTGGAACAAAACACTTTTTAATTAAATGTCTCAACACAGTGTAAATGTTTTTTGTCGGTAAAAATGGAAGCAGTTCAGCAGGTTCTGTGATTGATCAGTCAATTCACACAAAGTCAATTCCTGCTTATGTAGTGCTGCTTTAAAAATTGCAGCCACAATAAGTAGCAGCTATGGTGAATCATAGATACTGTATACAACAGCTTCAATAAAATGCAGCCACAGTGAATTGCACCTACTATATAGAGCAGCTATAATAAATTACAACCATAGCTAGTGAATTGCAGCCACTGTCTATAGCAGCTACAACATACTGTAACACAGCTAGTGAATTGCAGCCACTGTCTATAGCAGCTACAACATACTGTAACACAGCTACAGTGAATTGCAGCCACTGTCTATAGCAGCTACAACATACTGTAACACAGCTACAGTGAATTGCAGCCACTGTATATAGCAGCTAAAAATATCATAGTGAATTGCAGCAACAGTGAATTGCAGACACAGCGAGTTGCTGCAATGTATCACAGCCACAGTGAATTGCAGCCACCACGAATTGCAAACACTGCATATAGTAGCTGCAATATATCACAGCTGGTGAATTGCAGCCACAAAGCAGCAGTGTAATAAATCAGAGCTCCTGTATACAGCAGCTACAACATATCATATTCATAGTAAATTGCAGCCACAGAAAGTAACAGCTATACCAATTTGCAGCCACAGTTAATAGCAGCTACTGTATAGTAAATTGCAACCACAGTAAATTGTAGCCAAACATTTGCAACTACATTAATATGCAGTAACAATAAATACCAGCTACAGTAAATCACAATAATAGCATTGAAAAAAGCATCCCTTTTTAACCACCTCTTTTTTTCAATAAAAAAAAAAACCAAAAAAACATTAGCTGCAGTATACAATACTAGAGTGGTGGTATATGTTGCTCAACCTGTCAATCCCAGGGTTCTTGTTCAAATCCACCAGACACTAGTATTTTGCTAAAGACTACACTCCTTCAGCCTCATAATAAGACTAAAGCCGTGTTCGTATCAAATTAATTATGACCAAGACAAGAGCACCTACAACTTGGTAAAACCATACAGCATTACGCACTTGGACTTCAATACAGCATTACGCACTTGGACCTCAATACAGCATTACGCACTTGGACCTCAATACAGCATTACGCACTTGGACCTCAATACTCAGCAGGTTTTAAACCGCTTACTCAATGCGGCCAAGAGTCGTCAGCCGACGTGATTCTATGGAGAACGCAATGTCATGACGTGCATGCAATGGATGGTTTTTAATGAAGAATAGTGACTGCCACCAAAAATCAGTAGCCAGCATCGCATCATGTAATGCACACTGGGAACAGAGTTTGATCATTATGACATCCGTACGCCCGTCACAACGTGGTCAGTGCCCGGCATTACTAAACTTACGGATGCGCTATCACATGGTCAGTCTATATTGTGGATATATTCACATGGGCTCAGGAAAATTTAACACATTCGCACCATTCGCTTTGGATTTTTATGGTTGGGCAAAAAATAGCATGTTCATACTTTCTGGGCAATTTTCACCCGATTAATTTCCAGGTACATGATTAATCCAATCTGAACACGGCTCTAGTTTATAATGCATCCCATTCATCTTGGAAAAAGTGTACTTGCTGTTGGAATTGAAAGGAAATAAAAACACAATTTGTTGCAAATACACAAAAGAATATTCCTATTGAAAAACTACCTCCTTCCCTTCTTGGAATCATTTTCCCTTTTCTTACAAAAGAAAACTTATGTAGCACCATTCAGCAGATCTTGAAGTATAGCAGTCGTCACAAATATTGGCCATAAAAGAAGTGGTACAAAAAATGGAAGATTTTTTGGCATTCAATCAAAATAGCAAAATTCTGTCCTCAGCAAAAAATTGACAAAAAAAAATATGCAAACAGTAATTAAACATATATTAATAGTACTCTTTAAAAAAAAAATAAAACTGAAGGTATTAAGGTTTCCTGTAAAAAGAATCTGACTGCATTATACAAAACAGAACTTGAAGCAAAATCCTGTCCAATGATAGTTGATTTGCAAAATAACAGTTAACTAACCGGTATTTCAATGGTTATCTATACATCTCTAATGGGTATTATATTGCATAATTAGACAATTTAATATAAACAACTAAAATCATTCATAACACAAAAACTGATAGTGATTAATTTTGATTTTGGAATGTATTGCTCCAAAGTTCTGTTCCAAAGTTGACAGACAGATATCAATAAAATTATTTTTTTTTTTGTAAAAACTTAAAAATAATGCAGTTATTTAAAATACAAATATGGTAATTGCATATCAATGCTAAGCTCTGGGCTACATCCAATTTGAGGGATGCTGTAAGATCACTCCAATTCAGGTGGACATAGTTCAAATCACCAGCTCACAACACAATTAAATGCAAGTCCTGCATACATCTTTAAACCTCTGTTGAAAAAAAAACATCCTGTGATCTTTGCTGTGATATTGTGTATAACTTACTCACTTGTAGACCGTTGATCATTTAAGTTTACTACAAATTTGTGCATTTGATGGGGCAGTCTTTGAGAAAATCTGTTATACCAAGTTATTTCTGTTCAGCTCCAAATGAACAGTATTGGTTTACAGTATGATGTGTGTATACAAACACAAAACATATTTACTGTATATAAGTCATACATGTTTATGAGTGATTCAGTAAACTGGACACTGTTTAATATAATACAGTATTTGACAGGTTACTGTGGAACCTAATAGTATGTTACAGTAGTTTTTCACTACAGCAGCTTTTCTGTTAGGCTGCTCCTTTTTCTTCCTTTGCCTTGTTTCCAAACTGCAGCACCCTCGCGGAATGTCTTAAAAAAAGTAAGTCAAATGGCGCCCCTGCGGAATGTCTTAATACAAGTAAGTCGAAACAGCAGCATTGCTTCAACACTTCTTCATTCTAGATTTCAGTTGCGCCAAAATATGGAAAAGTTTTTTTTAAGATGAGTCATCGTGCTCTGGTACACTCGGTGGACGAAGTCGACGGAAACTGTTAAACATCCTCATCAAAATACTCTGTTCTCCAGCTGCTGCATCCAGCCTCTAAAAAAACATAACAGAAAAATATGTATAGTCAAGACAAGTAGAGCAGAAGAGGATGTCTATTAATGTTACAGAAAGGAGATCCTAAAACATGAAATAGGTAGCAAGATGTATGGTGGCTGTAACATGTTTGACAGCAGTTAGAGGGCGCTCTATATACAGTATGTGCCATCAGATTATGATCACTGATTGTAAATGATATGATGATAATGATAATTTCAGTCTTGGTTTGGTTGTTGTATTATTAAATATACAATTAATGGATGCATCCATACAGTACATATAATGCTGTTCACAAGTATATACAGTAAATATAAAATGGGTGCATTCTGCAATGTAACCAAGTATAGAAATAATTAAGGATATTTATATATATTTCAACTGAAATATAAGAATAAGTAAATGTAGGATTCAAAATTAACTAATTAACTATGACATGTTTTGACAATTAATTGCAAAGCTATATTAATCCAGTTGCAAAATGTAAACATGCTTAGCCCTCCAACCCAATGCTTAGCCCTCCAACCCAATGACTAGCTATAATGAAGAGCATAGACACACGTATCAAAACTAGGGTATCCATCAAGTTGCCAGATGGTCTAGAAATAGATGATAATGGTAATTTTTAGAACTGTCGAAACATGCATTTGAAAATCATGCATCAGATTCATAGTAATATTCAACAATTGCTTGATACATTTTTGGAAAAATATAATTAATAAATTAAACAAAAAAAATCTATACTAAACTATGTAGCAACTGGGTATTATTAAAAAGTTTTTAATTTCACTCAACCTAATTCCCTTACGAAAACAAAAATTGCAATGACACATATTTTACTGTGTCCTGTATTAAGTAAGTCCATAACAACAAAATCAATACTGTGATTGTTTAGTGTACTCATTTTGTAGGCCATGTATTATTAAAACTGGGTCATTGGTGTGAACTCATCACGTCATTTTTTGCCCAAACAATAGCAGAAATATTAAATTAATCTCTGTATTGAACACTGTCCTATAAATATGATTCATATTCTTGATCCCAATTTAGACGCCCATCATTGAAAACCGACATGTTATTTGATAACACAGCATCAAGGCAAAGTAAACACAACCTTATACCGCTGATAGATGATCACGTAACAACAAAAACATAAACAATAATATTCACTGTACGTCCCTATCAGTGCTTAAGACAGTAAACCCCAACAACAGCAAGGTTTAAATAAAAAGGCAGCACATTTTAAACAATTACATCATTGTGTAAACCACTTCATTATCATTGATTCAAATCATACACCTCGGCCAGAATCAGCAACAAAATAGCTTTACATACTTGAGCGACTAAATCTTATACACCAATGCGTGGGATCTAATCACCCTGAAACAAGTAGCTCAGGCTCGCTGCACACTAATAGGGCCAAGTTGGATTGCATCAGCTCATATAAGCAATACTCCACACATGCCAAAAGTTAATAAAATGAATATGGTAAAATTATAAGTCAAGGAAAATATTTGTGTTTATGGTTGCTAGCTCTCGCCAAGATAACAACAGTTGATGACGTTTGCAAAATGAGATTAAAAGGTTGGCATGGAAGAGGTCATGAGAATTGTATTGTGATCTATGTTTGTCTCCGTCTTTCTCTTTCTATTAAAACAGGAATATGTGAATGATTAAAAAACGACAATAATTTAGAATCAAATTGGTCGAATGACGACTAAAGCTGCAGGGCTAGAAATACTCCCTAGAATATCATAACTGTAATGTAATGTACAAAAAGTTTAATATTGTGTGCAAGTGGTGACTCATAAAATGTTTAGTACACAAGGCACAATATTACAGTTAAATACCAAATTATCATGATCATAACTTATGTGATTAAAAAAAATAAACTAAAAACCTGATTTAATATAATACAGAAGCCTATAATTTCATCATATAAAGTAATGCCATGTTCATTTAAATAAGGAATTTATAAAGCACCTAGGATGTAAGGCATGGAACTTCAAATAGATCTTTACCTCAGAAATCTGCTTACAAACATACGGTAGTAATTTCTATTCATTTTCTACAAAAGTTAAAATTTTGCGACACAAAATACTTAAAACAATGTCAGTAATTTCAATATGCATCAACATAGCGACGCTTACTGGTTTAAACTTGTATTAACGCACTTCTTTTTTCATTCATATTTAATCATTATCATTAGTATAATCTTTATTGGTATTAAATTTCTTGACTGTCCTTTTACGCTAATCCTCTGCTCTACAAAGAGAGCAGTTATAAGAAATGCAATCAAGAGAGAAATCAAGTCCAGGGGCTTGTTAAATGACAACCAGGAGCTACCCTGGGAACATCAGGTGCAGTGTCATAAGAGAGGAATTCATGTTAGATTGTCATGAAAGTGGAATTTTAAACATGCTGCATGTTTTGATAGACATAGATAACATGTCCAGACTTGCTACAAATGTGAAAGCAAGCTGAGGTGTGATTGGGTAACACAAACTCGGAACATGTGTCATAGCAGGGCATACTAAATCCGTGAATTGTAGCAATACAAAGGAAACTCCCTAATCTCGCTTCTTTGCCTCAAAGGGAAATACTAAACAAATACTTAATTTTTAAAAAAAAATCCTCTGAATACTGTATATATATATATATATATATATATATAATATGAATTAGTAGTTTAAATTCATTATAAAAGTTGGTTTTTATTACAGTTTTGTCTACAATACTAGATTATTTGATTTATTGATGCCCATGTTATACTGTAAAATTTAATGTATTGGTATTATTATTTGTTATCCAAAATATTGCCCACAAATTTAAAAGCAATACAAAAAAGATAACCTATAATTATCTTGGCCAATACATTGACAAAAAGAAGACTAATTAATTAATACTAGGATTAAAACTGACCTAGGATTTTCAAGGGCTACAGTAAATCACAACTAGAGATACTATTGAACTCTGACATTCAAACCATTATGAAACAATAACATATTTATTCTGTTGACAATTGGACATATCTTTGGCAAATTGTGTTGGTGGAGCTACCAGGCAGCTTTGCATCCTACAGTATAAGTAGGTCCTACAGTATATTAACACTAACAATTATATAATAGAGATATATGATAACAAAGATCCAAATAATTTAGTCAACTTAGAGACTTTTTCTACAAAAATCTTGATAGATTACAAGTAAAATATAAATACATTATTTAGGAAAAAATTGTCTGCTCTTCTTCAATTGAATAAGAGCCAATATAAGTAAGTCCTGTATATAAAGCAAGTAATTCATATAGTACAGACATTATCTTTTCAAGAACACTATATCATCAATATTATTATTATTATAAATGATAATGGCTATAGGCTATATGTAAAGCACATATAGTCTCTAAGCACTTGCAGTATTAAAGAAAATTCAAAGAAACATTCTAATCCTTGCAATGAAAAATGACCAAAGAGACAAAAAAATCTGCAGGAGAACCAATGGTATGATTTTAACGCAGTATTAATAATTATTAATAATATTATTACAATATAATTACAGAACACAAATAGTATCAATTTATTATTGACTTATTTGAACTACATTTATAATCAATATAACTTAAGTATGTACTAAACAAATAGCTTAATAGATACTTGTAGTATTATATAATTATTATATTACATATATAATAACAATGGATTTGAATAACATTTTCGTATAGAATTTAATAGTTTACAGTTACAATATTGTAGAACTGCTGTAGTTCCCTTAGTTGGAAAATGTTACACACACAAAGTACTGTTCCAAGGAAAATTAAATATTAGTCATATAGGACTTTTAATGATGGGTATGAGAATGGATGGATGCTGACAACCTTACATTATCTCTGCTCAATTATGTCATTATTTTACCATCACTTATGAATTATAGCATAGCAAAAGCAATACATAAATGTTTATATCCCATTCTTATATTGAATAATGGCAGAGTACATCAGGGACCATGACACAGAAACTGGGAATGTTAGAACATTTTCTATTAACAAGCAAAATAAATTATACAACACAAAACAAACATCATAATAATTTATTTGGAATGAAACTTTTGTAACAATGGCATGAAACCATGTGTGTAGAGAATAATATAAAATAACATACAATTATTATTAACATCTGTACTGTATAAATTCATTTGGTCTGACCTGATACAGAGGTTGCAGATATTTTGTTAGTACAGTACTTTGCCGATGCAGCAGCCCCTGGATTATTCCAGTCAACTAGATGAAATGAAATATCCCCAAGAGCCTACGACTACAAGTCTAATATTTACAATTACACTTGAATCTTATACAGTATTATTATAATTACATAGGAGTTAAATAGCTACAGGGACACAGGTGCCTACTTACTTTAAGTGCAACTCAATAGCAAAAATAAATTCCAATATAATAAAATTGTGTATTGTTTAAGAAAACAGGACACATTATATCCAATATCCAACTTTAGTTTAAGTTAATGATCTGAAATTTGATGCTTTTTAATTGTTTTAAGAAAAGTCTCATTTACCATTTCTAAGGGAAGGAAAATTTGAAACATATAAACTATTTAACATATTGTTGAGTATAATTTCAGTGTTTATATCTTTAATGTTTCTTTAAATTGTTCAATGATTTACTGTTTCAAGAAAGTGTTGTATCCCTATTTGAGCTTCATGAGGGTTTCTTTTTGTCACCTGTTTTCAATTTCATGTCTTAATTTGAGATTTAAATCTATTTATTTTGACAAATAAAAATTGTTTGTATTGTTGTATTCTAAATACAGTAATTTAATCCATATGCTACTGACTGATTTTTTATACCATAATATATAAAATTTAAAAAAAATTTCTGCTGAAGTAGAAAGTAGACTTCAAGATGTGCATATTTTCAAATAAATAAATTTACTGCAAAAGTTTTTTTGAAATTTACAAAAAACTTTAGTGAAAAATAAATAAAATTTACACATAAAAACAAGTGTCATTTTACAAAATACAAATCATATAAAATTTGAGGTAAGAACTATAGAAATCATCGCCTGCATCCCCCCAAAAAATAAATATTAAGAGATGAAGTTTTTCTTACCTGCAATGTTTCGAAAGACATTTGGATTTCATCGGAGATCCTTCTCAACTCCCGACCCACGGCTCTCATGCTTGATGACCGTGTAGGTGCTGAGTTTGCTCGATCCCTGAACGTCACCACATCCGGTAGAGGTAGGGCATCATCTTCCATGGGCGCATCGCCCTCAGAACGGTACCGGCCCCGACGTTCTGAAAACAGGACACCACAAACGTTCATTATCACTATAATGTCTCTGAGAAAATGATCAGCATCCATGTTATCGCATCAGAATGATTACGAAATGGCGAAAGGAAACATTTAATTGTGAGAGAGTCAGGGAGGTCTAAACATCCAATGGTATCAAAATTGCTTATTGAGAAATATTAAGTTGTCACTTGATAAATCTATGGTATGGAGTGTACTTCATATATCAACATCTGCAACAAGTCCCTTTGGTGTTGATTACACAACATTGATAATTTCATTCCATGTACAACTTATTCAAAGCTCTAATCACAAATGATTGGTGAGGTACGATTTTCTTCTTGTTTATATCTTTGTCCTAAAGTAATCCTGGGATTTCCAATATCAAAACAGTGGTTACTATAAAGTTAGTTTTGAGGGCAAACAAAAGAAATGTCAGCCATTATTCACACAGTCATCACAAGGAAAATAAAACTTCAAATCATGAATTGTGAACATGCACTTGGTATCAACTTAGCATGTGCTCTCTGATTGGCTGATACCAAATCAGTATTATGTTCCTATTGGCTGTATTCTATTTCATACCAATAGACTATAGAAATGTATAACCAATTATAAATAGGTACTGAATATCACCTCATTATGTATTCAAGGTGATTCCATTTCATATAGGGTATTGGATTTTACAGAATACTAAATAAAGTCTGTTTACTTCCTACATCTAAATATACATATACAGTAATTCATGTCTATTTTGATTTAAAGTACAATTGTATGTAAATTTTAAAACATCTTTGTTCATTACATGGCCAATTGTATACTATAATCCGAGGCCATATGCACATTGTTATGTATTATTGTCCATATAATTAAAAAAAACTAGGTCTAGGTGCTCTAAATGAAAATATAATACAATTCGAAAAAATATGGTTCTATTTTTTGTATGAGGTTGTTTATTTACAGTAAAATTTGAATACAATTAAAAATAAATTCTGAGCTTTAAAATAAAATTCCCTTGCACATTTCGTAGCTTAGGTAAAAACATCAGGTGTGTTGTTTTGATGATGACAAACTCTTCTAGGCTAAGCAGTGGATTTCATGACAACTGATTGGTCGTTCTTCTAGCCACTTATTTGCATACAATGGTTGTCTGCTCATGGTTTGTGGTTGTGAACTCATCTACAATGGCTGGTTGGTGCACACTACGCAGTGCTCCAATATCAATTACCACAAAGCATTTCACAGCCAAATAAACATTCCTGTCATTTACTACCAATTTTACTACAATACTGTTTTGAAAATGATTACCTTTTTTCTTTCAATTAAAATTAACTTTAGCGACATCTTTATCAATTATTTGTTTATAAAAAACACAAAACAAAAACACACCAGACAAAAATCAAACATACGGCCATCTTGAGCAATTAATTTCATGCAAAATACACTCCTTTGTATTTGTATCAGCTCAATATAACTGACAAACATTATACTTTCATTTACAGTTGGCCCCAATGTTTTCTTTTAATATCAAAAGTCAATGTCCTGCACCCGGCAATATTAATCTTTTCTTTCTGGCAACAGTTATGCAACAACAAAATAAATGACGTTATAATATTGGCATGTGTTGCTCCAAAGAATTTTAGCTTATAAATCAATGTCTTTTTACAATTTATCAATTGTTGTTATTGTATCACAGCCTATATACACAAAACTAAATAATCATTATAAAATAACATCAAAAGCAAGTGTACTTAATATACTATGTACTTCTTTGAGAAAAAAAAAAAAAAAATAACAAACTGCAATAGGCCAATACGTATAAAATAGCAAATATTGAAATTACAAAATAAATTGCACATTAAACATCATACAATAAGAAAATTAAAACTTGCAAGAAGCAGTCAATATGCGAGAAGTATAGAAGTTCAAAATGTCGGTCGAAAATGTTGCCTTCTTCAAACGGCGAGGGCATATGTAATTTAACACTAACCGAATGATATATGAAGGCAGAATATAAGCTTCTTTCTTCCTGATGATGGTAAGCACTGGTAATTCATATCCTTCTTATTATTAATGATGATGATGGAGATAATTTGCTGCTGTAGAAGTTTCTCTAGATATCATTTCATAATAGAAATAATCATCCTCAATTTCATCTCCTATCAGAAATATGCTATTTAAACATAGTTGATTAAATTTGTTATAGAAATAATATTGTATAACTTTATATTCCTTAATGCAAATATTGTATTCTTATTGAAAATATATTATTTTTTGTTCTTTATACTCCCATTGAAAATAAGTGGTTTAACAACTTTCATGGGCTTTCCAAGTGTATAATTTGACAATAGAAGTTGGTTAAATCAACTTTAAAATTACCATCTTGGATTTTCCCAACTAAAAAACAGGCAATAATTAATAGATGGGGTAGGCAAAAGTTTGACCCCTCACTTTTCGCAAACTTTTGACACCAATCAAATTAGGATAACAAGTAGGATAGAGCTGCGAATAAGTTTGACAATCAAGTACTTCCTGTGTTTGGCAGTAGAAGCCACCCAACAGGATATTGTGAAATAGGCATATTCAGGTTTACAGTGTATCATTACTATACTAATATTTACTACTGTTTATGGTTCAGGAAAAATAAGATTTTTGTCTGTATAAACTATTTGAACTTGGAAAAATAGAAATACAATAATATAACATGTTAGATTTATATAGCGCTTAATGCCAACAAGGCCTCTAAGCGCTTCACATTACTACCGCCGGTCACTGGATTAAATTAATATTTACATTGCTACTTTTTAAGTATTCAATTAGAATGACAAGTTTCTCTTGTCAATTAAGAAATACTGTAAATAATATTGTTCATATTGTAAAATATCTACATCAACATTTATAATGTCTTTTTTTGTAAAAACACTTGTAAATCAGTGAAAATAGTTTTATATTGTTCTGTATTTCTGTCAAAACAATTATTATTTGATCATTTCAGGATCTTTTTAAAGTTTTCCAAGGTTTACCACATGTAATATAATGTACTGCATGCATCATTTTTCTAAAACAAAGCCATATCTCAGTTTTCTGTGCAAAACCCTTTCTACTTCTTCTTTCTACAGTCTACCACAATGTTGACTTTTATTAAATTACAAATTAATTTGTTTGCATCTTTCAAGGAAAACGACCACATGCACTTTCCGAGGCTAACGTTGCTTAATTATTCCCATGTTTTTCATGTTATGATAAATCTAAAAAAAATAACATTAGTAATGTATTTGAGTACTTTTAAAATAAAACTTTAACAAATTCTAAGGCAATTTTATGTTAATTTGCAAAAAATCTAGAATTTTAATAATTGGAAAAAAGTCATTCTATTTGTTATTCACTGTACTGTATTTACTCTGTTTTGCTAAATCTGAGTGTTTGGTGGTGGTTCTACTAAGTAATAAATTGTTAAATTTCTTTGAAGTATGTAATTAATAAAAAAAAAATAATTTAATGTTTGTAATTTAGACAATTGTTGATGTATGTGACATACCATAAAATATTTTTTACACTTTGTATTAAACTTATGTATACATTTGGCCAAAAGGATTTTCTTTTAAACTAAAGGTTTCAAAAAATTCACAATGAAGTCAAGAAGCAAAAGTTCATTTATAACACTATGTTTTATACGCAGTAACCTTTAACCTTTAAATATTCTATGAAATTCATGTTTCCCTAGTCAATCAGAGTAAATGCAGACTTCTTTTTCATTTACTACGGAAATCTGAAGACATAGTTACGGAAATGCCTTTTACGAACTTGAGAAGTCTGAAAATGTTGCATGGGAAAAAAGAGTGCATTCCAATTGTATATCAAAATTTTAAAATTAAAAAAAAAAAATCCCCAAAAGTAAAACTTAAATCACCTTCTGATAATGCCCACAAACTTTGGATTCCATGTGAAGATGTGTTATTTTTTGGTGAGCCACGTGCAAGTTTATTCTGACTAGTTTCCAGGCCAGCTAACTTATCTTCCATTCTGCCAGACAGCAGGCAATATTCATGACCATTAGCGGCTACAAATGACAACTGGTGACAACTTTTTGTCATGTTTTTCCTAGCACTGTACTAGTTCTTTGTTTTGCTCAGCCTATGGCATTGTGACAGAACATGACGTCATCCTACCTCGCTCCCCAATCACTATAATGCTTTGGTAATTGCATCACTACTCCTGGCTATTCTTAGAGGTGACATAAACTGAAGTCAGCCTAAGGTCATCCATTCTAGACCCTGGATATCCAGGGACCTACTACTGCGATCATTTCATTTTGTATAAATGTATGAAACTGATGTACAGAGACATGCGCATACAATTAGCTGGGCAGAGAGATGGGCTGATGAGTAAAGAAACAATAATAAATTTTGATTTTTTAATATAATTTGTAAATATATGGTATGTTCCTAGCTTTTTTTTACATAAATTATATTTTCTAGTTTTTATACTTGACTAAATATGCCCTAAATGCCACCAACAAAATATTTTAATTACAAAATTCATTATTGCAAAATAAAATAAAGGTTTAAAAGCATTCATATAGTAAAATGATGTATTTAACTGTTTAAACTGTCTAATAATAATTTTAATAAAGAATAAGTGAAATTAAATGAATGATCTATATAATGATGGTATCTGCATATGATGCTCATTGAACTTCTACCAAATTTCTATCGGATGCAGCATTATCATGACCATTACTGTATAATACTATGCACTTGTTTGTTCACAATAAGTAAATAAAAACAAATGTTCTATTTTATAAAGCTGTAATATTTAATTTCAGAATACTCATTCTTGTAAACATACCAGATATAATCAATATACCGTATGTGCTGGATTGAATAAACCAGAAAAAAATAAGTTCTTAGAATTCATAAATGAAATTACAGTAATCTTTTTCCAAAAAGATTAACAATGCATGTTCTATACAGTACCTGGTAATACTGGCAATTTGCTCATTTTT